CACACACACACACACACACACACACACACACGCACACACACACACACACAAACACACACAAACACACACACGACACATGCAGACACACCATATTATTCAAATTTTAAACCCACATGCTTTTAAAGATTCCGGACAAAACAGTGCGGAAACGCTTCCGTCAAGTCATATCTACTTGTGAACCAAGAAAAGAAACTTTTAAAAAGTTCATTATTTTAGCAATCAAAGTTGAATTAACTGTTATACAATGTATTCTGCAGCTAACTCTAGAACAAATCAAATCACTAGTACTGCACAGCAATACAGTATTACCAATTAAATTGAATTAACAATTTAAGATTGGAACAAACTCGTGTCTTAGGAACCGAACCGAGTAGTTAGCGACTGGCTTATCGAAGAGATCCCCAGGCATTCCTCCTTGCCTTCCTCCTTGCCTCTCCCACACCCCTCCCCCCCCTCACCACCTTCCCCCCCCTTTCTCAGGTCTCCAGCTTCCTGTCCCGAAAGTCGGAACCGACACCTAACTCATGATCTACAAAACCATGGTAGTCAAGGGGAGAAATTTCTGAAAGAAGGGTGCTAGGTACCTACCTCCACCAAACTGCACACCACCACCTCCCCCCCCCGCTCCCGCTCCCACGCCTCTGCAGCCCCTCTTCGTTACTCCCATCTATCCCCCTTTGCTGCATCTCCTTTACCCCACAGCTGTTCAACAGGTAACTCAGCCTCCATGTGATGCCAACCCCACTCCCTCTCTCCACTCTACCTGCCCCTTTGCCTTCTCCCTTCTCCCTACCCCTTCCCTTCTCCCTGCCACTCTCCTATACATTCCCCCCTCTATGGACCTACCCAGCACATTATCGACTTTTACACTATTTCAGCCCCTCCTTCAGTTAACCTGCTTGACTGAATCTGGGACGATGAGAACCCTCCTTTCCGATGCTATCCCCTTTCTTTGGGGTGAATTCCTTAAAAGTGCAGGCCAGTCGACGAGAGCTCATACTGTGCCCCCCCCTCTTCTCAAATGCATGCCTGTTCCGCACGGCCTGGGCAGGCTGATCTACGGGCTATTTCTGAAAACACACATGGGCCTGACAAGGTCCACGAGTCAGGTCTGTACCAGTTGGCACAAAAAATTGCATTTCTGTGGAATTCCTCCCTTACGCGCTTCTCAACGACACCCCCCCCTCCTCCTTTGTCACCCTCCTAGCCCCTACAAGCCTGCTATGGATATGTCCTCCTGTCCACTCTAAATGATGCCAGCCCCTCCCTCCCCCTCTCTCCACTCTACCTCCCCCTTCCCAAACATTATGTCAGGGATTGTCAGCTTTCCATTCAACTGTTTCAACCTATCCTTTGAACACCTCCTCCCTCCTACCTACCTACCCCTCGTGAAGATTATACATCAGGATGGTTCTGCACGCCACCCCCCCCCCCCCCCTCAACTAGCAAATCGAGAATGCTCTGCATCGCCAATCTTGTGCCCTGTTTCCTTCAGCACTGAGAGGGAGTCCCGTCTGATTACGCCTTGCTCTGCTAATGTTCCTTGCTGCAAATATCCTTTCCGCAGATGAACGGTGGGTGCTCCACGTGTGAAACGTCTAGGAGCAGCAGTGTCATGTGAGAAGATGCTCAAACATGCAACCCCTGCTGACATACATCAAGAAATTTGAACCTCTCAAAATCTCAAACACAACTGCTTCTTAACGAAAGGGTCCACCCTGCCGTTAACGTCCCTTGGTGCGAAAAAACCCTTTCGGCGTATGAATACCCTCCATCCAATCTCCGTGATCGTCATCTGTCCGGAGCACGATCCTGACGTCCGCTGAGAAGAGAATGGCAGTTCCTTTCCAACTCGGTCTTCTCGATCCCTCCATGGATTATTTAATTCATTTTCCTCTACCCTCTCTCCGCTCCCCTTTCATCCCTCACCCTCCTTCTCACCGAGAACCTGCGTCTTACATCCACTCGACATTGCCTTCCTATCCCCCTGGCCAACCACCCGCGCCCGCCCCCCCCCCACTCCCCCAACCCCACATTCTCCACCCAGGTATCTTTGCTCTCGATCTCACACCCTCTTTCTCACCATCAGCGCCCTAAACCATACCTTCCAGCTTTCTCTCCATATACATCCTAGCTCTGTACATTTTGCACCGTCTTTCTATGTCAGCTCCACGCTCTTTCTCCCCTAGCAGGCTAGCAGCCACTCTTGCTATCACTCTCTGAGTCTCTGTACACAAACTGTGAGGGGGTAGTTAACTGCCGGATTGCAAGCCACTGTCTGAAGGAGAGGAGGCATTGCTGGCCAAGACAAGCCTAGTACTGTTATTGCACCTACCTTTCCTCGAAAACGCGAGTGTTGGAGGAAGAGATCACACAATGGCCCCCCCCCACTACACAATTGTCTCACACCGCACAAAAAAACGGAAAACGAAACTAGATATGTCTGCCGACAATTGACTGTTTAAGGACAGAGATAAAATTATGCTACAAAAAAAAAAAAAAAAAAAAAAAAAAAAAAACCCTTGGTTGTCGTAAATCTCTTCTCATGTTCAAAAACTTCATCCTAATCTCTCTCTCTCTTCAATTCAATTATTGGCTATCGGATGACAGAATGATAATTTTCTCTCTTGGCTATCAGACACCACCTGATTACATGCCCAATTTTTAAGGCATGCGTGCCAACGGTCACAAGCGCGGAGGGTTAGAGGTTGCGACTGAGAGGATAACGGTGAGAGGGAGAGAGGGAGAGAGGGGTTGGGACACTCGTGTTCTCCAAGACTTCTCACAATCCATCTTTTTTTTTGGCTACCCTCAGTACCAAGCGTTGTGTTGTGTGAGAATTGGCTACCCCCTCAGTACCCTGTCTCATTCCGGAGTCAAATGCAGCATCCCTGACAATCATGGCGGGCAACATGGGTAGAGCGAGAGGATGATGGTGCGAAGGTGAGAAGGAGGGCCTCCCGACAGGTGCTATTACACGATATATGTGCCGCAATGAATCATATGCGTTGAAGTTCTAAGAATCTACACCCTAGACCAGAGTAGCAAAGAATAATCCAGAACTCGGAGCCGATACCAACTGCAGTAAATCAGGTTCCCCCTTGTACACAAAGATTCGACTTTTGAAAGCCTCTTGAAGCCTTAAGTAAGCTCGATAACTTTGCACTAACGTTGAAAGTACTCAATAGTATGCTTTGGGGCATATACACCAGGACTTTCTCGATGGAATCTGACCTCAATTACGGATGGATGCAGCTGAAAAAGTCCTCGTATAAGTGTGTCCTCATTCTGTTGAGAACCTTGTGATGTTTTCAGATTCTTCACGGACTGCAAAAGCATAAGAGGTGCCTTGCTTTTTGTATCCCCCTCTCGTTTGCTGTCATACTGGCACGGGGTCACTGGGAACATCCAGTGAATGGAGTCATCTTTGCCGAATTTTTGCTGCCGGTTGTCTGGTTCTCCATCCCCCCAGGCGTTCCCCTCCTCCACCCTCCCTCCCCTCCTTCCCCCCTCCCCCCAACACACACAAAAGCCCCTATTCATCATCTGTGCTCCTGTTTACCCCTTGGGTTTGGAACCCCGGAAATTTTCATCGCATCCAAACCACACAGTAAGCACAGCCGCAACACAACCTCGGTCTTCGTTGAAGAGCTTCACCGGGACATGCCACTCTCTCCATCCGCCTTTTCCGATGAATTCTCCCACTTGACCCTCCAAAAATAGCCACCTCTTGTCCACCCTCCTGTGCTCCTCCTGAGACTCACACATTAACGACAGGTTGTCGTCCTCCAGCTCGCTAACTTTTGCTGCCACGTTCTCAAAATGATGCTCTCGCTCAAACGCCCTCCAGCTCGCTAACTTTTGCTGCCATGTTCTCAAAATGATGCTCTCGCTTAAACTTACTGCTCAAGGACGCCCGCGGCCACACTCGTTGAACTGGCACGATCCACACTCTCCACCTCCCCGTTTGACTCTCCGTCGATGTCAAGTCGAACGCCGTCCAAATTGGCAATCACCTTCTCCAGGGCTGCATCATAGCTACGCAGTCGATGGTCTGCTGTTGCCCTGAGGGAGAGTATAATCTTTTCGAACCTCCCACCTTGTGGATTTGCCGTCAGCACACGATGGTTGGTTGCTGTTAGTCCAGAGAACCCTGCCTTCTGGTACACGATGTGGTACAGCTGCCCTGGTGGATACAAGCGCCTTGGATTTGAAAGTCGTTCTTCCTCTGGAATAAACAAATCTCTGCAGAAGCGGACAAACATTACTGCCTGCACACTGCAGCCAGCGAAGAATATATGACTCAGACCTGACGGTATCGCTTTGTGCTCTCTCTCTCTCTNCTCTCTCTCTCTCCCTGCGTGTGATTTGTGTGTTGTAAACTGTCACTGCAACAGACCGTTTTCCACCCAGATGCGTAGATCCAAAAGTGAAACAGCTTTACCTTGGGAGGGCCGCGTCACTTCCCAATTGGTATGCTGGGCCCTCTTGCTGCAGAATGAGTGTCCCAGACGCGAAAAGGAAAGTGTTCCGCAGTTCCAAAATTCGAAATCAATCATAGCCCTGATTTGATCAGCCGCAACACAATCTCGGTCCAAGAATTTCCTGAAGTAGACATACTTGCCGTCCTCCGTTCCCTGAGAACGGCAGTGGTCGTTTATGGTCCTGGTTCCTTTCGCTTTGTGAGCCGCAATCGGTCCGGTCCCGTTCCTTTCCTCCCGGGCCAGTCCGAATAAATAGATCATAAACACACTTATATGCTTCCTTTCAGTCTGGCCGAAGGACCCCTGAGCAGTATTGACTGTCACCTTGCCGTCCTCCGAGGTTCAGCTCAGACTTGGTAGAGTCCCCTTTTTTTTTTCCTTTTCCCTTTCTTTCTTCTTTTTGCCTTTTTGAAAGGGCGAAGGTCTTGACATATCATTGTTGAACTAACCGGCCGCCCCCCTAAGCAATTCAGCATTATTTTGTTCTGTTCATCTTCTTCTTGTTCTTCTTCTTCTTCTTCTTCTTTCTTTTTTTCCTTTTTTTTTTTATACCAGAGACCACTACTAGAGGGGATGATAAGAGCAGCCGCCTCTAGTAGCTGTCCCCGGCTGCTCCATCTATTCGTGGGGAGCTGCACCTGCTGCAAACCAGGTCCAGCGTTGATGGCACATCTGGATTCGAACTTTGGGTCTGTATTCCAATTTTCAACAGTTCATGTAGTCTGTTCCAACTGCGCTCCCAACGCAGTTTCTCTAAAAGCTAGGCTTTCTTTGCAAGAATCTCCGAAAGCCCAGCACTCTCAACTGTTTCTCTATTGCATTTTTAAGTTTTTAATAACTTTTTACTAGTTTTTAGCTTTTTAAGTTTCCACAATGTCTCATTAAGATTTTTTTTTTAACTTTTTTTTCAAAGTTTCTTAACTTCCGTTTAGAGAAATTTAGACGCAGCAAGTTTACAACTAATGACACAGTAAGTTTTTCACTTTTTAACTTTTAAAAATTCCACAATGTGTAACGGGGTAAGTTTTCAACATGATGCATATTCATTTCTACATGATGATTTTAACATGATGCATATTCATTTCTACATGATGATTTATGTACAGTTTGTCACAGTATCTTAGCCATCATTCCCTCTTGGTGGGCAACTTCTTCTTCGTGTTTTTTTTTTTTTTTTTTTTTTTTTTTTTTTTTTTTTTTTTTTTTCTTTTTTTTCTTCTTCTCCTCCTCCTCCTCTTCTTCTTCTTCTTTTTTTTTTTTTTTTTTTTTTTTTAATTTCAACTACCCTCCTCCTACAAGCAAAGCTGCAGAAACCAACTTCAGCCATCAGTAACTCACCGTCGTCACCGATGAGAGGGAGAGGGGGGGGCCTCAGTTCCCAGCAGCTGTTATCTTGGTGGCCAAAAGTAAACTGCCGAGGTTGGAACTTCGGATAAGATTCAGTTTTTAACTTTTTTTTTTTTTTTTTGGCATTGAACTTTGAAGTTGATTAAACCTTTTAGCATATGAACACTACGACGATTAGTCTGGAAGGATTACGTCGTTAACATGCAGAAAGAAAAGTCTGAAGAACATAATAAGGGGGATGACGTTATGCAGAAAAAATAACATAATACGAGGGGACGACCTCATGCAGGGAAAAAAAAACAAAAAACAGCAGCAACATAACAAGGGGTAATCTTCGCCGGACTCTAACATCTTCCCCCAAATGCAATGCACTGTAATCATGCACGAACGTATATAAGCTATCTTCCTTCCCTTCGTCCTATACAGTCACAATGAAAGTGCATATTAGGGGAGAAGGTGATAGATAGGGTTCAGTTCAGGGTTTTGGGGTTAGGGTTTAAGCGGAGCAGGTCCTACCCGCAGATCATGCCAAGAAATATCTTCTGCATAATAGATGTTGCAATCCTTGGCCAAAAGTCATCCTGCAGATGAAGCACGACATTGTTCGAAGAATCTGACAATATGTTAATAATTTACTAAATTATTAATAAGTCTACAAAAAGATTAACTTCACAACAACTTCCCAAAAATTCAAATTTCCAAAGTGTAAGCTTCCACGATCTCCAAGTTAAACCCATTTCATACTCCTCTCTCTCCTCCTTTTCCTCTTTTTTTTTTTTCCATTTTTGGTTTTCGAAAATGACGCTTGCCTTCTGAAAACTCTGAATTCAACTTGTCTCATCCATTCACTAGATTGCGAAATGGTTTAGCGAAGTTAAGACTAACTAGGAGTTGGTTTTGGATTAAACTAGGGTTTGCCAAAACAATTTTTTTTAGGTCAAAAACAACTAGAGTTTTGCACTCTTTTTCTTGCTCACTTTTAAGGTTTTAATACCGTTTTATGCATTCCAAACACGCATAATATTTCATAAAATTATCAATCCATTTGAAAAATTTCAATGCAATTGCCAATTGCCAATAAGGAATCCGTAGCCTCACACAAACAGTCCCCCAATCCAGTGAGCAACCAATTGAGTGGCCCAGCTCATACCTGCCCGACGACACAGTCAAGTTGGCCTTAAGGGAGGATGAGCCTTCAAAGATCAGCAACATCGAGGACCAAGAATCTAAGGTAAGGAAAATGATCTCCCTGGCAAACAACCTGATCAAGCAAGAGAACAATCTGAAGAAAAAAAAGAAGAAGACAGATTGCCATTCTAGAGACACAAACAAGGTATCTGCAGGAACAGAATCTGGAGCTAGGAAAAGAATCATATACCCTCAACAAAATTGCAGACCAAAACCCTCAGGAGCTGAAAGTGGCATCTACACTTGATGTCCACACTCTTTCCCCCACGGTCCCATTCCTGCCATTCCGTTACAACTTACAACTCAGTGAAGACTCAAAAGGGAGTGGCAGATTGCAGTCCGTCCTTCATTGAACATCATCACAGCGCAGGACACATACAATCGAGCGAACTTTGCGAGGGCGAACATCTCAGACGATCGCCCCCTAGCACTGAAAGAGATAGAACAGGACTTCCTGGACATTTTCTGGGACGATGACAACGGGGAAAGACACTACAGCGACCTGAGACCGGTCATGGTCTACTACGATCAGCAAGCCCAACTTAGGGAGGGACTGGCATGAAAATTATGGGAGATAATTTGTGAGATCGGAGATCCCCTAGTCACTGCTGGGTCACAAGGACGAAGTTGACAGAATTGCCTTCAACACAACAAGGCTTCATGAGGGAGGAATGGTTGGGTAAGGATGAGGAGGAGACATGGAGAAACTGAAGAAGGAAGGACAAGGAGAAGAGAAGAGGAAGGAGATGGAAGAGGAAAGGAAGAAGACCTCACAACCCCCCACCTGAGCCAAATATTAGTCCCACAACAGTCTAACCATTCCAAGCATTAATGGAAGAACTATCAAACGACCAACCTGCTAGTGGGATAGGCAATAATCCAGAAAGATTCAAACCCACCACTGAAACAGACAATCTCAAAGAAATCACAAAACAACCTGAAATAACCTGCGTGTCATGGAATATTAACGGACTGGCCTCCATTTTAGACAACCCAATAAACTGGACGAACCTCACCGAAACCATTGGATGATTCGGACCCAATCCTCCAGAACATAACATGCCTGCAAGAAACACACCTACCTAACAACAATGAACACAATAAATTACAGCTCGCCCTTACCAGGAGACAATCCCTCGTCAAATCTGCCTTCTGGGTCAAAGCGACAGAAAAAGGCTCAGCAGGAATTGCCATCTTTCTACATCAAAAATTGGTAGAGTTTGAGTAGTGGACCATGAATGATTCCGAGTTCTTCCTTTTTCTTCAATTGTTCTTAGCCGAAGCCGGGTAATGGCCCCGGTCGGCGGTAGCTCATTTTTGTATCCTAATAAGGGACGTTGGGC